AGCCGAGTGGTCTAAGGCGTTGGAATTAGGCTCCAATTTACGTAAATAAGCGCAGGTTCGAATCCTGTTCACACTATTAATTTTTTTGTTTTAAAGCCCCTATGAATACAAATTCTGAATTATTTAAGAAGATTAAAAATGAGATGTTAAATTATGTTTATAATGATCAGAATAATAATTTAAGCTTTTATTCAAATCAATTAAGTAATACAAATGATTTCATAGCTATTTATAAAGAGATTATGTTTGAAATAGTTGACTTAGCACAGAATAATAATGAAACTACCTTGATAGAATTTTATAAATATGTTAAGATGGTTTATAAACTGTATATTTACTGTAGTAATTACATCAAAAAACATAACTTTATATTTTCTTATAGAAACAAAAATGATAGTATTTTTATGTATTGGTATAAAAAAGCTATTGATAGACTTCAAACACACATTAAAGATAAAATAATATCAGAGGCTGAATCTAAAGTTTATGAAATCAAGCTAAAAATAACTAGTTTTAATAAAAATAAAGGAAGTGTCAGTATGGATATGATAAATGATTTAAAGATAATTTATTCACTTGTGTCGGAAGATGAAATAATGAGAATATTAGTTGATATTGAAAATAGCTTAGATGTTGATTTCAATACAGAAGAAGAGTATTTTAATTATATTGAAGCAAATAGTGTTTTTGATGGATATACTGATAAGTTAAAAGAAATACTACAAAAAAATTTAAGAAAGAAATTTTACCTTAAAAAATTTAGACATAAACCACTTTTAGAAATACACTCTGAAGATCCACAAAAAAGTTTATTTTTTTTCTTTATTTTAATTTAAGTTTTCTTAATTACATTAAAGACACAAATCAAAAGTTTTCTCATTTTATTTGGATTTATTATTATTTAATGGATGCTAAAAATGAACGTTTAAATTATTATTACATTAACTCTTTATTTGATATAGTAGAAAAGTATAATCTCATACCTTTAAAAGACTTTGTAAATGAAAATTTATTTAAGGTTAACAAATATGAATCTTTTATGGCAAAAGTATTCAAGTACAATAAGAACGATATTGAGAAATGTCTGGACAATACCTATAAATCTGAAATTTTTCAACAAAACGTACAATCGCATTTGAGTATTTACTTTCAAATATTACTAAAACTTTTATCAGTAAAAATAAAGAATTAAATGAATTTATACTTGGAATATCCAAGTCAGTTTCTACTGATATTTTAATTAGA